AAAGTCATTGATCTCAGTGATCAATTTTTTTTAAAGCAAAGCATTCGAAAACTAAAAAAAAATACTATATAGATAAGTAAGAAATCTTCTATCACACTGGCTATTCATCGCTACTAGTTACAACTCTGTTGTAGAACTTTTCACGCAGTATTTTGTGATATATTCTGTTTTTTTTTAATTAAACGTATTTAAAGATTGAAAAAATGAAATGCAAAGTACTGACATTTATTATGAGTCACCTCTTATAAACTTGTTTGTATTTGCATCAATTTTTAATTTATACCCACTTGCCTATCATTTTTGTACCAACGCCCTTGATCAGATAATTGACTTGGTGCGAGAGCATTGTTATTCATTCTGTCGATTCTCTCATAAGGTCAACTAAACGCAAAAAAAAAGAGCGCTAATAGATATATTACCTTAATGTTAATATTACCTCTCATAAAATGAAAAGTAATAAAATAAATAACTCGAATACAGCAGTATTCATATATATTTATCTTTTTTTCTTTCTTTATTTTTATTTGTTACGTATATCTGACAAATTTTCGATAAAGACTGCAAAGAAGATAAAGTTCACACGTTCCGTATGATACTTCTGTCAACTTTGTCCAATTTTCCACCTTTTTTAAATACATATTTACATTTATCTCTTTAATATGTGTTTACAAGTATACATAGTTGATCTAGATGTTTTTTTATTTTGATTATTGAAGAAAGGTATTATAAAAAAAAAGGATCAAAGTACATGAAGAACATTACATGTATTTGATATAAATGTCACATTGAATTTTATAACAATAACAGTAACTTTAAGTTTCATTTTATATTTTTGTTTAATTTAAATTTAATATATATACAATAAATATGACATTTATTAATAAGTTTACTTAAAAGAAAGTTATCGTTTCGACAGATAATTTGCCATTGTCAAGACCAGATGTTATATGATTCATAACAAAATATATATACATGTATTGTCTCTCCAACCAGAAACCTTAGAGATATCTCTACCATGAACAGATTCATATAACATCTGATCTTGTCGAAACGTCGTCTTTCTTTTAACTAAATTTATTAATAAATGCTAAATTTATTGCATATATATTAAATTTAAATTAGAAAAATATATAAAATGAAATTTAAAGCTGCTGCTAGTGTTATAAAATTCATAGTCAAATTGATATCCATAAAAAAAGATAATTATCTACAAATTTCACATTGTTTCGATAATGTCAGATGCAGTTGGTATACGAAATACTATTATTTCAGACTCTATAAAAGTCAAGTCAATCCCTAGATTAGTCATATCTGAGTTTTACTTTTAATTTTCCTATTTTATTTCTCTTGGTATTTGTTTAGTGAACAAAAGACTACATTGATATATAAACCCTATTTCACCTTTCTGTACTCATGAACAATTCTTCGATCACCTTCATAAGAAAAATTGAATGGCACTATTTTTTTATGAGTCTTCGATTGAGATTGGCCAGCTTTTGATTTAGTTTCACCAAGCATGAATAAATTCGAACTAAATTTGGTTCAATACGAAATGTCCTACTAAGTATTAATCATTATTCCTTTGTCTTTTCACTTTGTTTTTTTTAATGGCCAGTCAAAAAAGATCATAAAGATTTATTATTTCACATTAAAAATTTGGAAAAGGAGATATATTAATGTAATTGATCCTAGATTTAGCAAGATATATTCCTATTTTTGTTTCAATTCGGATTACACACTGCTTATACTTTCAGGAATAAAATCTCCCCCAAAAAAAATGATGATTTAGAATATTATTCTCCTGCAATTTTCTTTCTCGTTTGTTGCGATCTGGTTTTTACTAAATTGTTCATAACATGGTATTTGCACTTAAATTCACCTAATAATTCTTTTTAAGCTGGTCGTGTAAACACCACAAAATCCAAGATTTGAGTATGAATGCATATGGAGGTTCTTTCTTATAGAATATATATAGGTATATAAATGCTCAAAATATTTGCTTTATCACCATGTTCACACATCTTTATCACGCAAAACTCTAAATTTGACTTGTTTTTGGACGGGATTTTTACTGTCATGATTGAAACGATAATTGATAACTGTTTTATTGCTTAAAAAATAATAAATATTTTGATCGTTTTTTCATACAAATATTTTTATGATTATTGATATTCAAAGCTGAAGCCTTTCAACCGTTACAACCAGATAATAATACATATGCTTTGAAGCTAAACTTTTCACATTTATTTTGTTTAACATTTGAAACTGCGTGACAGTTTTCAATTGGTTGTAGTTTAATTTCAAATTTTAGTATGGTATTGCATACATTTAAGTATCACTCAGATACTTGTCGTTCTATGCACTAATGAAACTGTCGGTTTTTTCAAAAAGAAGTACATATGAATTATTGTAAATAGTGTAGACTAATCAATTTCCAGTGTATATTTGCTGTTTATTTAATCCGGTTTTATACTAACATGCTTATGTAAAAGTAGAAAACTATTTCTCTTTTCGTCTTATAGTGCCATTTGTTTTTTTTGTAAAGTAGATTTGTATAAGTAATTGCAATTTTGAGATTATATCACAAATGTTTGAGTTATCGATTATAATCCATACTGATTCACATGACATTCAACTATCACCACATGTTCTCTAATTATGATACACATAACCAGCCTCAAACTTGAGTACAATTTTTCTTTTATTAATGTTCGTAAAAATAGAAGAAAGAAAGGAGAAAAAAAAGTCGTCTGAGAATAATCATGCAGCTGTGATAATCACATCTGACAAAGACAAATATCTAAATTCAGCATGGAACAAGATATCATTTTTTCTGTTTTTGATCTGTTGTAACTGTGGTATAGTAAGAAGATAAGCAATTAAGTAGATAAGTAGTTAGTTCCTTCTCTAATCAAAAGCCTTTCATCTTCTCTCTTTTATGAAACATGATCTAACATTTAGTATTAAAGTACAGAAGCTGACATTTGAACTTTCGACAAAAGATTAAGAATATAATGCTTAAACGACACAATCTACACCATGAAGACATGAAATTATCGGATGTCCTGAAAGTTGTTATCACTTAATAAATGTATATAACTTCAAAGTCCATGAACACTGTAGAAAAGATAGGACTTGTGGATAGAATACACAAATTAGGCTTTTTTCCATTTCGAAAACAGTATGCTACATTTTTTTCTTTGGTATTTAGTCGAAATTGAATCGCTATTACGGTCTTTAGATGTTTCATTATTATCTCACAATTATTTTTCGACATGTTACAAAAAAAGGACGAATAATTGATGCATCTTTTCAAAGTAGCTTTTTTGCAACTCTTTGAAAACTTTTGTAAGCATGAAAACAAGTACGTTACACCATTTCATACGTTGTATACTTATTAGAATTGGCTTTCTTACTTTCTTTTCTCATGATTATATCAAAATAAGTGTTTAGAAACGCACAAAGATTGATTCGAATAGTCTGAAGTTGGTAAGAACGATTGACATTCGACTAAACACCGAAGAAAAAGCAGCATATTACTTTTGTATTCCAGCCACAAATGCTACCTTTTCTTTCGTGTTGATAAACTTGGTCTTTAAGAATGAAAACTTACTAGTCTTCTCTTTTGCATAAAAAGAAAGATTTTGATTAAGCTGGATTGGTATTGCAGTTATATGCATTTATTAAGTGATCATGACTTCTGGAACATCCGGTATACATAGAATGGCAGATAGATAGCTAGATTGGTGAGGTACAGGCAATTCGAATTTTATTACTGAATGCTCTTTTCAAGCCAAGAAAAAAAAGAATCAAAAACAACTTTTTTTTTCAAAATGTGCGACCTTTTCTGCACCATTCTTCTTGTCAGCTTTTGAAAATATTATTTTCAGATTCATCTTTAAAGACTGAGTATATGCAAGATGTTAAATCGATTTTAACTTTAAAAGTCTTATTTGTAGACCTATCTACTTTTTCTAGTTTAGCACGAAGATCAAGTGTTTTATGTTGTTCAATTCATTATGACAGCAAACACAAAATTACGCATCGCTTTTCTTTTTTGGGTTAGTTCTCCTGCTGAAAAATCGTATTTATTTAATTTCCATAACTTTTTAAGCTAGTACTAAATGAGTTTTGCATTTAAGCCAGGCTGTCATCAGAAAAACACATACGAATTCGTAATCAGTACAATAAGTTAGTTCGGATAAAAGCATTGAATATCAACTAAAAAGATTATAGTAATCAAGTCAACACGATTTCTCAGCGAGAGAACAAAATAAACAGAAAAACAATGCCTATTTTTTGCGATTGTTGTGATGATGAATCGAATAAAATCATATCATTACTTTTATGTTTGAAATCTATAATTTCAGCCAAATATATTTTCATTTCTCAGTGTTACATGGATAATCTACGAATAATTTGGATAGCACTCATGTTTATGATTGGGCTGATTTAATATTATTATTCGATGAAGTTACCCTCACCTTCATCATCATTAGCATTGATGCCTTCTATATTACAATCAATGCAGCAAAAAGTGGTAGAAATGAATGATCGTATTTCAACCTTCAAATAAGCAACCATTAATGAACAAAAGCCTTACGCAGATGGTTATCGAGCCCAAGCAACTATTATTAATAGTCTCGAACTTGTAAAAAAAGTGTACACAAGATCCATCACTTATTATTGTTGATGTTGGTGCCTTCCTTGGTAATCATATTTACTAATTTTTTCAGGTAGTACGGAGTCATACTTTGAATCTTAAAAACTCTCAGATAACTAAAACATTTTCATGCACGCATATTTGTGGAAGTTTTGCAAAACGATTAGCAGTAGAAAATCTTTTTTTTTCTTTTATTTGGAAATTCATTCGTTTTAGCAACAGAGTTTGTATTTTTGTAAGAGACTATTGTAAACATGGTATATCATTCATGCATCTCGCACATAACGATGCATTTTAAATAATATACTACTTTAATTATATTATTTGAGTATATCAAATGAGAAAATCAGTATTAAATCTTACATCTTCTCTTTTTCTATTAACAGGAGAGTTTGAATTATATGCTGCAGCATGTAATTGTCAAGTATTTTTTTTTGAAGTTCAACCAAATATGGTTGATCTTATCCGAACATCCATTTCACTTAATAATTTTTCTAATTCACGTGTTCAAGTTATACAAAAAGCCGTCGTTGATTTATCTTCTAATTCTTAAATAACATTTTCTCCTAGTGGTGGTACAATTACAATATCTAATGAAACGTTGTGTGCATCTACAATTCGTCTTGATGATGTAGAATGGCCAGCAAAATCGTCTATTCTTATGTTAAAAATTGATGTTGAAGGTTTTGAACTAAATACACTTCGTTCAACCGAAAAATTATTTCGTGAAAAGCGTATTCATCATTTAATCTTTGAATATACAGCTTGGTGAACTGATCGAGCACCACAAAAAGATCTGATAACATTTGTTGAAAAAATCCTTAGTGTGAAACAATTATTTGTGTTAGATCGAACAGTTAATACTGTTTATGGACCATTGACTTATGATTATACTAAATCAATTTCATGATGATCATGCCAGACGACATCTTCAAACTAATATCTATATGCTACTTTTATTGAGTCAAATGAAAACTCTACTTTAACAGTTCAACCGTACCAGTTAGCAATATCATTCGCATGATTCATGCTGTTTTCAACAAAGATTACTTAAAAGATCAATCTGATGAGCATTTATGTCTTAACAAATTCTAACAATATAGAGATTTCAATAACTCATCGTTCAATTTCTAATTTAGAAAGTTTGACACAACATGTAACAAAGCAGTTTTTTTTATCTGATCATTTTTTTATTTATAACAGCAGCTAGATTCTTTTTGCTTTTTTTTAATAATGAAATATAAATAAGTTGAATGTCTATATTTGAAAAGAAACTGAATTCATCTCGAGTGAGTATTCAAGTTGACGAATTTATTTTTATTTTGTTAAAACTTGTCAACATCTTTAAGAATTAAGCTGGCGAAAAGTAATTAAAATATGTCTTGATCTTGAATTTTTCCTTCAGGTAGTATGTGAGTGTACGTGTCCGTTACCACTTGTATGAACAGAAGATCTTCTTCCCCATCAACTTCCAACATTCACAGACAATCTTACAACCTCCTCTCATAATAAAAGGAGAGGACTTTATATTTCATTTATGATCCTTCTTTCTAACTTCTGAATGCATGCGAATATACACCATTGTGTCATCTTGTCAACTATTCCTATATCTGTATAAATATATGGTCAAACGAAGGAGAACAATCTTGAGTAAAGAAGGGATGAGAAATCTTAACAATCTCTTTCAGTCTCTATTTTGATAATGTGCATTTGAGGTCTACACAATTTATTTTATCATGCATTTCGCTATTCTTTTCTTCTTATAATAGCGCACATATATGACCTTATCTCATAGTTACGAGTCAAATGAGTTTGATAATAACATCGAAAGAAGTATCTAAGTAATACAACGTATACAATAGACAGAATTTTATTGAGTAAGAGACTTAAGAAAGTTTCATAATTGACTACGGAGAAAGTCATGCTTTTTATTTTTCATTCTTAGATTTGTTGGTTATTAAACAGCTAGCGAAGTTGATACAACACAATTGTAGTAAAAAAAAACACTATTCGAAAATCATGAATATTAAAATATATCAGGTGGATGCCTTTACTGATCAATTATTTGGAGGTAACCCAGCAGCGGTGTGCCCACTAGACAAATGGTTATCAGATTCATTGATGCAACAAATTGCTGTTGAAAATAATCTTGCTGAAACGGCCTTTTATGTGCCAAATTCTATCAATGACGGTTATGAACTACGTTGGTTTACACCTGAATACGAAATAGATCTTTGTGGTCATGCAACATTGGCGACTGCACATATCATTTTCACTGAAATGTCTCCAACAAATGAAGAAATCAAGTTTGAAACCAAGGAAGCGGGAGAACTTACAGTTACCCGCCACAAGGAGAATTCTTTATATACTCTTAATTTTCCAGCCCGTCCGACAACAAAGGCTGATTTGCCTGATGGTCTGTTGCAAGCGTTACGTAGTGTTAAAACTCCTATCGGAGTTTATAAAGCGAGAGACTATATGCTTGTTTATGAAAACGAGTCTGATGTCCAACAGTTGTCACCAGATTATACGGCTTTAGCTAAAATTAATGATGTTTTTGGTGTGATTGCTACTGCTCCTGGTGATGAAGTCGATTTTGTTTCGCGATACTTTAATCCGGGTGCCAGCATTCCTGAAGATCCCGTTACTGGTTCAACACATTGCAATCTAATCCCTTATTGGTCTGAACGATTGCGTAAAACTAAACTGCACACTTACCAGATTTCGGTGCGTAAAGGAGAACTTTGGTGCGAAAACAAAGGCGACAGAGTACTGATATCGGGCAAAGCAGTCACCTATTTGAAAGGTGAAATAAATATTTGAATTTGCATGCTAAATTTATTGACAAATTCATTTCTTCATATGTAAAATCTAACATTTTTTTTTTGTATTAACTTTAGACAGTGAAAATATTGGAATAGAATATGATTTGATGTTTATCAACAAATGTAGAATGAAAAGGACTCATATTGTATCAATCCATAGTGTTAATGTCTCATCTAGATTTACTGATGTATCCTGAGGAAGTTTTTAAATGTTGCCCTGCAATTCATACTTCTAGAGAAGCCAGAAAGCATTTAATCATCTTTAAGAGAGACGTCAATAACATAAAATTCAGGATGTTGTTTAGATAGAGCTAGAATTTCTAATGAGTAAGTTGATGTTCATGTATATGCATGGTCCTTAATGAGACGAACTGATTTCTCTATCGATTAGTATCACAGAGCAAACAAACTGTAACTCTTATCTAAGACCATTTCATTAGCATTGTCAATAATACTCGACAATATTTCGATAGTCCTAGTCTTTTGTTTTTACGTATTCTTCCAACAAGTAGATATATAAAACACCACAGAATGATAAACTATGTAATAGTTGAACATCTAATTCAATGACGTTGTCTGTTCAAGGTCTTGTAATACCGATATTTACATAAATCTGTATAGAAATTCATTCGCCGTAATTATCACCGATTGACTCTAGCAAGAACTTGAATTTGGTCTGTACTTGATATTGCATAATGAATTACATCTCGACGTTTATCGAAGTCAGCAATGAAGAATACAATCGATTTCTCTTGTTTTTATTCGCGAATATCATATCGTACGAACTGATCTTTTCCTCTTTCTTAGTCATTTGAACGAGATATTGAACTCAAAGATTCATTATACTCAACACCGACCATGAAGAATCAACCAAGAAAATAAACAACTTTATCATACTAAAAATGAAATGAAAATTTATTTGTTAATTTTATTTTTTGTATTTATTTATCCGAGTTTTTGCAAATTTTAAATTCTTATAAAAATAAGAAAACAATTATTTTAACGGTTGAGTAAATTAGACACGATGCAAAGTTCATTTGAAGCGATCGAGGTCTACTAAAAGTTCATGATTGAGTTTTGAGTGTGAGAATGGATGCTGATTATAGGTGTCGATGCACTTATAGAGATCGTTGAAACCTACATCACACCCGAATTCAGTTTATCTTTTCGAGCATCAATTATGATGAATATTTTTTTTTTCAATAGGAAATAATACTTATAAGTAAAATTTTTTAGATGACTTTCCATACTTTTTGACTACAAAGTCCTATTGAGTTCTGCTGAAAATGTTAAAAAGTACTAAAAGTCACTAGGAAAAGTGAAAATTAGTAAAAAGATTTCAATTTATTTTGTTGCATCAATATTAAAAGTACTTGATATTATTCTTTTACTCTTTTGTTACATGCGTAAAATAAACTAAATATTGCTTTACTATTTTTCACTGTTCCTAGTGAATTTTAGTACTTTTCATAGTTCCAGTACTACTTAATAATATTTTTGGCGTACTTTTTAGACTTCCAGGAGTAATAAAGAGTACTTTTGAGTCAAAAGTATGAAAGTCAATTAAAAATTTTTACCTATAGGTACTATTTTCTGTTTAAAAAAACTATTGAAAGCAGTTGATAGTGACTTTTTGGATCAAAATTTTGATACAGTATGTCATATATATTTGAAAGGAAAAAGAAAATACAGATCAAAGAGGCACGCAAACAACCTAATCAAACAAGAAAAAAATATTTTGAGCCTCTATTTTGCCCATTGAATATTTATATATGTTAACTACAATAGATACGAACTTATCGAAATAGTAACTCTAAGAAATATTTTCTATGATAAATGATAAACTTTCACTATTACGAATAATTTCATGATTAATTGACCACTGGTTACCGTCGGTTTTTACAAAAAAATGACATGACATTCTATTTGGTGTTCGAATTTCATCTTACTTAGTTGGAATATCGAGTTTGATCGTTTGTAAATAGTTTAATATGTAACTACCATTCTGAAGTTCTACTTTTGAAGAAACGGTTTTATTCATTGTACCAATGCATAATTAGAATTCAATGAAAAAGTATATCTTTCATTGACATTTTCGAACAATTCTATGTTTTTCGATCTATAAAAGAAATATTCGACAGCGAAAATTTAGAAAAAATGTATAGCCTTTGGAATAAGACTACTTGCAAATGAAGATATAGTACGAAAATTGACCTAGAAGACTTAAGATGTGAGACTATGCAAATGGTTTTCGTTATCATTCAATATGCAGATGCTTTTACTATTGAATAAACAAGCAGAGATATTTGAACACTTTATCTTGACCAAGTTTCTAGCATTGAAATGATCTACTCAGTTTTTTATTTAGTTGTCATTCGTTGTTTCATTGTGAAAATGAATACACAAGTTTTGTTAAATATTTATCGATGACTCCAATTATCTCAATTCTCAAGTTATTCTCAATTAAGCATCCTTTTCAGATCTCTTTATTACAATCCTGAAGAGTATGCCATGATCTATCAATATGTTTCTCTGTTTTTGTTCTTGAAAACTTCGTTCTACAAGATAAAACTGTACCATGCGTTTTTTTTCAGGAGCCAGTGTAATGTAGCAAAATGCCTTAAATTGTTCGTTCTTCCTCACAATTCATTGCATTCAATAACATCAATAGATAAGAAAATAGTTTCCATAAGTAGTGCACAATAATACTTCAGTATTACTAGACATGCAACTCTCCTGCACAGTGCAACAAGTATTAGAAAACAAAATTACATGATTAGATTTGGATCGAAATCGGAAAGAATGGCTATTTGACTATGTGACACAATGACTTTCATCAATATATATAAACTTATTGCTTCTATAATATACATTACGTTGCCCACATTTTCTAATCTCAATTGAAAACGTTCATTCTTCTCTTAACTTGTGTCACTTTTAGGGTGCACAATGGACGCTAACTTGTTGAGCTGTTGTATAGCAAAATAATCAGACAATAAATAATACAATGTGGCATTGTGTGTCAATTTGAAATTTTGACGGCTGTCAATCCCGTATTGCATGGCTTTAATAGATAACATTCATACTCACCTATGCTTATCACTTATTTCTTTAGTCAACAATAAAAAACAAGTGCATAGTCTACTGCATTTCTGCATACATGATAAGCCAGATAAACCACTTTTCTCTATCAGATTTATATCTGCTAAATTAACTTTATAAGCATGTAGAATTTCAGTTTATTCGGCTCAAGTTTTGCTTCACGTTACATGCTTTGCTCATGTGATTTTGATTTATATAGCAATATTTTAAGACTGCCATTTATGCCTCTGATTAACTCTCATCACTATAGAAATATTAGAAAAATCAATGTTGAGTAACTCAAAGCCGTCAAGAAAAGTTGAATGCATCTCATGGATGAAATTAGTTCTTGCTGTTATTCCATCTATTGTCTTTGGTATCTTCACTATTGTATTCACACTTCAGCAAAATTCTTTATCGAAATTGACCATCGAATTAGAGCGACAGCAAGATATACAACAACGAATGCGGTCTATTTTCGAAAATTGTATCGACGCAATCACTAATGTCCTTATTAGTCCAGACTTTAATGGCAGTAATGTCGGACACCTTCGACCAATACGAGAGAAAGTACTTGCTGCTCTCCGTCATCTTGATGCGACACACAAGCGAGATATCATATTTTTTCTGTACACAAACAAATTGATTCATATAGACACTTCACCTGAATATCGATTAGATTTGCATGGTGCTGATCTCCACGAGGTACAGTTTATTAAATCGGAGACCATTGATTGCGATCTGCGGTATCTATATCTACGAGGTGTGTACGCCTTCAATGCTGTCTTCGCTGATTGTGAACTTAGAAGCGCGGATTTTGGAGACAGTGTGATGTACGGAAGTCGATTTAATAATTGCTTCTTGGAATACTCTGCTTTTACGAATGTTGATCTCACAAGAGCTACGTTTGTTAATACCAATCTCTATACAGTGAATTTTGCGGGCGCATCTTTATTACATGCGTCATTCTTAAATAATTACCTGTTTTTGAATATTAATTTGACAAACACTAATTTATTTCAAAGCAATATTAACAACCAGGATCTTTTGGGAACCTCACCTTCTGGACTTAGCAATACAAATATAATACTCAATACTCGCTTCCCTAATGGATCCTTTTTAATCGATACATCACAATTGATTATAGATAGTGGAGCTGAAGAAAAGGTATGCTATCTGTATTTGGTGGAAAGCAAAAATAATTTTGCAGTTCTCTTTCGTGATAATGCATTCCTAATGAAAGAGAAGTTGTTGGTAAATCCTAATATGTTATCCTTAGTTAGCTATTCCATGCACATTCAACTCGTTCACTGATTTTGATCTTTGAAGCGTTTCATGGAAGTATTTTAAAAAGAATTTATACTTTATTATTCTTCCTCTTTTGTAGTGCGATGCTCGAGCTCTCAGTTTACCCACTGGCTGGTATATATCAACACATGAATTACAGATGGGAGTACGCAAACAAGTTGAAAATTCGAGCACCCATCCTTTGGCGATCGAAGGTAGCTGTTACTTTATAGCAGAAAAGATTGGTATTCTCAGTCAAGACATACATGTACGTCGGTTTTCAAAGCTCATTGATAGTGGCCGAGCTTTATTGAATATGTCAGTTCACTTTGGTTGCTCTCAGGCCCATCAAAATGATGAAGCAATCATGTATCTCGGTTATTTAGATGAACGTTATCAACCCATTCTTGTCGAACAACCAGGTAAGATCTTCGAAAGATTCCAATCACTTGAAAATATTCATATAATTTTATTCCCATAGTTATACGAACAAATAACAAGCCGTTTCAATTTAAATCACGGGTTGCATCTATTCCAATCGGCACACGCACAATCAAAGTATATATTGGGGCAAGCATTCCGAACTCGACAACAACCGACATTCTTCAATATTGTGTATTCGATGCAGTT